ACTTTCTTACACCATACACAAAAATAAACTCAAAATGGATGAAAGATTTACTACATTGAGATGTTTTAAATATATATATATATAATTTTTAAAAAATTTTTATTTTATTTTATTATGTTATGTTAGTGACCATACGATACAACATTAATTTTTGATGTGTGTTCCATGGTTCATTGTTTCCATATAACACCCAGTGCTCCATGCAGTACGTGCCCACCTTAATACCCATCACCGGGATAACCCATCCCCCCCTCCTCTTCCCTTCTAAAACCCTCAGTTTGTTTCTCTGAGTCCGTAGTCTCTCATGGTTCCTCTCTCCCTCCGATTACCCCCCCTTCATTTTTCTCTTCCTTCTTCTAATGTCCTCCATGGTATTCCTTATATTCCACAAATAAGTGAAATCATATGATAATTGACTTTCTCTGCTTGACTTATTTCACTTAGCATAATCTCCTCCAGTCCCATCCATGTTGATGTAAAAGTTGGGTATTCATCCTTTCTGATGGCTGAGTAATAGTCCATTGTATATATGGACCACATCTTCTTTATCCATTCATCTGTTGAAGGGCATCTCAGCTCTTTCCACAGTTTGGCTATTGGGGACATTGCTGCTATGAACATTGGGGTGCATATGGCCCTTCTTTTCACTACATCTGTGTCTTTGGGGTAAAGGCCCAGGAGTGCAATTGCTGGGTCATAGGGTAGCTCTATTTTTAATTTTTTGAGGCACCTCCACACTGTTTTCCAAAGTGGCTGTACCAACTTGCATTCCCACCAACAGTGTAAGAGGGTTCCCCTTTCTCCACAACCTCTCCAAGATTTGTTGTTTCTTGCCGTGTCAATTTTTGCCATTCTGACTGGTGTAAGGTGGTATCTCAAAATGGTTTTAATTTGAATTTCCCTGGTGGCTAATGATGATGAACATTTTTTTCATGTGTCTGTTAGCCATTTGTATGTCTTCTTTTGAGAAGTGTCTGTTCATGTCTTCTGCCCATTTTTACCCACAGAATGGGAGAAGATATTTGCAAATGACAATACAGACAAAGCATTGATTTCCAAGTCTATAAAGAACTTCTCAAACTCAACACCCCCCCCCAAAAAAAATATATATTATATATATAAATTTGAGAAACAAGACAGAGGATCATAGGGGACGGGAGGGAAAAATGAAACTAGACGAAACCAGAGAAGGAGACAAACCATAAGAGACTCAACCTCAGGAAACAAACTGAGTGTTGCTGGAGTGGAGGGGGGTGGGAGAGATGGGGTGGCTGGGTGATGGACATTGGGGAAGGTATGTGCTATGGTGAGTGCTGTGAAATGTGTAAGACTGATGAATCACAGACCTGTACCCCTGAAATAATACATATGTTAATAAAAATAAGAGATGGATCAAATATATATATAATATATAAATTTGTTTCAGATATGCAAAAGCAATTGGCAATACTTTTACAGCATTTGATTTATAGAATGAAAATTTCATACAGTACTCATTTTGATATTAAAAAAATTCTCATAAAAATTTTTATTACAAGCCTGACTGAATGATACTGTTCTCTTCAGTTTCTGGTTATGGTAATTAAAACCTTCATTAAGTCTGCTAACAAATCATTACCTGTACATTTATGAAGGCAACTGACACGATTTGCAAACAAAACCTTCAGGTTTTATGTTATTTACCAAAGAGTGCAGTTTGGCAAGAACAGAAAGCCCAGTATGCAAATTTATAAACTGTTTTATAAATTTAGCAGTTCTTGTGACACAAACTGGTTCAACCTTTCAAGATACCATCCATAAGGTTCCACATCATTGTGACCTGCCCCCTTGACCCACAGAGGCTCCATGGGTCTTTGACAATGCTCAAACAATGGAAGGCCACGTGAGAAGTCATTGACTTCATCTTCAGCCCCATGAATTATTAATACAGGAGATGTTATCTTAGAGTTTTTGTCAATGTTTGGGAATGCATCCAAACAGTAGGTCTTCTTAGTATCAGGAAAAGTGACTCCCATTCCCGAGGTCAAAGGAGAATGAATAGTAGCAGCAGCACTCTCAGACTGAGCAGCAAGACCCACAGATGGTCCTGTCCCTCTACTATGTCCATATATACTCACATTTTCAGGGTGAATGCCATATCTTGTCATAAGAGCAAGCCAAGCAGCTTCTATATCTGCATAGAGGTTCTTCTCCAGGCTGGCTATGTGTCGTTTTTCACTTGGGCTATTTTTAATAGGACCTATTGGTTTGGATTCCTGTCTGAGAATTTAATGGATTCACTCCTGAATGCAGGAGATAAGGGAACATGTGATTCATAACTTTTATATTTAACAATGTAATAAAAAACAAAGCTCACACACAAATATTAAGTTGCCTTTCCTTGATGAATTTTACCTGAATAAAGTAATGAAAGAAAAAGATAAAAAATGGATGGAAGACCTCAATGTGAGGCAAAAATCTATCAAAACCGTAGAGGAGAACACAGGCAGAAACCCCTTTGACCTTGACCACAGTGACTTATTAGACACATAGCCAGAGGCAAGGGAAACAAAGGCAAAAATGAATTATTGGGACCTCATGAAGATTAACAGTTTCTGCATAGTGAAGGAAACAATCAACAAAACTAAAATGAAGCCTACAGAATGGGAGAAGATATTTGCAAATGACATATCTGATAAAGGTTTAGTATTCAAAATCTAGAAAAACTTATCAAACTCAATACCCAGAAAATAAATAATCCACTTAAGAAATGGGCAGAAGATATGAATAGACACTTTTCCAAAAGAAGACACCCAGATGTGTATAACCCAGTTATCCCAACCCCCACCCACCTCCTTATCCACAACCTTCAGTTTGTTTCCCAGAGTCAAGAGTCTCTCATGGTTTGTCTCCCTCTTGACATCTTCCCATTCATGAATCATTGAAGATTATATTAAAAACTAATGATGTGCTATATGTTGGCTAATTGAATTAAAAAAAAAAAAGACATCCAGATGGCCTACAGACACATGAAAAGATGCTCAACATTACTCATCATCAGGGAAATACAAATGAAAACTATAATGAGATACTACCTCACACCTGTCAGAATGGCTAAAATTAACAACACAAGAAACAACAGGTGTGGGTGAGGATGCAGAGAAAGGGGAACCCTCTTATACTGTTGGTGGGAATGCAAACTGTTGCAGCCACTCTGGAGAACAGTTTGCAGGTTCTTCAAAAAGTTAAAAATAGAACTACCCTATGATCCAGCAATGGCACAACTAGGTATTTACCCAAAGCATACAAATATAAAGATTCGATAGAAAGACTTCCAAAAAGAAACGAGAAACGACCCAAATAAATAAAATCATGAATGAAAGAGGAGAGATCACAACCAACACTGAAGAAATACAAACATTTAGAATATTATGAGCAACTGCATGCCAACAAACTGGCAATCTGGAAGAAATGGATAAATTCCTAGAGACAAACTACCAAAACTGAAACAGGAAAAAATAGAAAATCTGAACAGACCCATAACCAGGGCTCATGCTACTCAAAGCAATCTACACATTCAATGCAATACCATTCAAAATACCACCAGCATTTTTTCACAGAGCTAGAACAAACAATCAAAAACTGTATTCAACCAGAAAAGACCCTGAATAGCCAGAGGAATGGTGAAAAAGAAAGCCAGTAAGAAATGCAGAGGGACACTATATCATACTTAAAGGGTCTATCCAACAAGAAGATCTAACAGTTGTAAATATCTATGCCCCCAACATGGGAGCAGCCAACTACATAAGCCAACTGTTAACCAAAATAAAGAATCATATTGATAATAATACTTTAAAAATAGAAGACCTCAACAGTTCTATTACAATCAGCAATAGACAGATCATCTAAGAAGAAGATCAACAAAGAAACAAGAGCTTTGAATGACACACTGGACCAGATGGACTTCATAGATATATACAGAACATTCCACCCTAAAACAACAGAACACTCATTATTCACTAATGCACATGGAACTTTCTCCAGAACAGACTACATACTGGGTCACAAATCGGGTCTCAACCAATACCAAAAGATTGAGATTATTCCCTGTATATTTTCAGACCACAATGCTTTGAAATTGGATCTCAATCAGAAGAAAAAAATTGGAGGCATTCAAACACTTGGAAGTTAAAGACCATCCTCCTAAAGACTGGGTCAACAGGAAATCAAAAAGAACTTAACAATTCATGGAAACAAATGAGAATGAAAACAAACCGGTCCAAAACCTATGGGATACTGCAAAGGCGGTCCTAAGGGGGAAATACATAGCCATCCAAGCCTCACTCAAAAAAGTAGAAAAATCTTGAATGCACAAGCTAGCCTTACACCTAAAAAGGCTAGAAAAGGAAGAGCAAATGAAACCTAAACCAAGCAGGAGAAGAGAAATAATAAAGATTGAGCAGAGGTCAATGAAATAGATATGAGGAAAAGAGTAGAGCAGATCAATGACACTAGAAGCTGGTACTTTGAAAGAATTAAGATCAATAAACCACTGGGCAGACTTATCTAATAGAAAAGAGAGAGGACCTAAGTTAATAAAATCATGAATGAAAGGGGAGAGATCATGACTAACACCAAGGAAATAGAAACAATTATTAGAAGTTACTATCAGCAACTATATGCTAACAAATTAAGCAACCTGGAAAACATGGATGCCTTCCTGGAAACTTATAAACTATCAAGACTGAAACAGGAAGAAGACAACCTGAATAGGCCAATAACCAGTAACGAAATTGAAGAAGTAATCAAAAACCTGCCCAAAAACAAGAGTCCAGGGCCAGATGGTTTCCCAGGGGAATTCTACCAAACATTTAAAAAAGAAATAATACCTATTCTTCTGAAGCTGTTTCAAAAAATACAAACAGAAGGAAAACTTCTAAAGTCGTTCTTTGAGGCCAGCATTACCTTGATCCCAAAGCCAGGCAAAGACCCCATCAAAAAGGAGAATTTCAGACCAATATCCCTGATGAAATGGATGCCAAAATACTCACCAAGATCCTAGCCAATAGGATCCAACAGTACATTAAAAGGATTATTCACCACCACCTGGTGGGATTTATTCCTGGGATGCAAGGATGGTTCAACATTCGCAAATCAACCAATGTGATAGAGCACATTAATAAAAGAAAAGACAAGTACCATATGATCCTTTCAATTGATGCAGAAAAAGCAATTGACAAAATACAGCATCCTTTCCTGATCAAAAGTCTTCAGAGTATAGGGATAGAGGGAACATTCTTCAATTTCAGAAAAACCATCTATGAGAAGCCCACAGCAAATATCACTCTCAACTTTTCCCTTAAGATCAGGAACAGGACAGGGATGCCCACTCTCACCACTATTGTTCAACATAGTACTAGAAGTCCTAGCATCAGCAATCAGACCACAAAAAGAAACAAAAGGTATTCAAATTGGCAAAGAAGAAGTCAAAGTCTCTCTCTTCCCAGATGACATGATACTTTATGTGGAAAACCCAAACGATTCCACCCCCAAATTACTAGAACTCATACAGCAATACAGTAATGTGGCAGGACACAAAGTCAATGCACAGAAATCGGTTGCATTTCTATACACCTACAATGTAACTGTAGAAAGAGAAATTAAGGAATTGATTCCACATACAGTAGCACCAAAATCCATAAGATACCTAGGAATAAACCTAACAAAAGAGGTAAAGGATCTATACTCCAGAAACTACAGACACTTATGAAAGAAACTGAGGAAGACAGAAAGAGATGGAAAAACATCCCATGATCATGGATTGGAAAAATAAACATTGTGAAAACGTCTATGCAGTCTGCACTTTCAAAGGAGTCCCTATCAAAATACCATTGACATTTTTCACAGAGTTGGAACAAACAATTCTAAAATTTGTATGGAAACAGAAAAGATCCGAATTGTCAGGGGAATGTTGAAAAAGGAAGCGAAAGCTGTGGGCATCACAAGGCCTGACTTCAAGCTATATTACAAAGCTGTGACCCTCAAGACAGCATGGTACCGGTATAAAAACAGACACATGGATCAATGGAACAGAATGGAGACCCCAGAAATGGACCCTCAACTCTATGCTCAATTAATCTTCAACAAAGCAGGAAAGAATATCCAATGGAAAAAAGACAGTCTTTTCAATAAATGGTGCTGGGAAAATTGGACAGCCAAATGCAGAAGAGGGAAGGTCGACCGAATTCTCCTATACCATACACAAAGATAAACTCAAAATGGATGAAAGACCTCAGTGTGAGACAGGACTCCATCAAAATCCTAGAGGAGAACATAGGCAGTAACCTCTTTGACATCGGCCACAGTGACTTCTTTCAAGGCATGTCTCTAAAGGCAAAGGAAACAAAAGGAAAGCAAACTTTTGGGATTTCATCAAGATAAAAAGCTTCTGCACAGCAAAGGAAATAGTCAACAAAACCAAAGGACAACTGACAAAATGGGAGATGATATTTGTAAATGACATTACAGAAAGGGGATGGTATCCAATACCTATAAAGAACTTTTCAAATTCAACACCCCCCCCCCAAAATAATCCAGTCAAGAAATGGGCAGAAGACATGAAGAGACACTTCTCAAAAGAAGACATACAAATGGCTAACAGACATATGAAAAAATGCTCCATATCGCTAGCCATCAGGGAAATAGAAATCAAAAGCACAATGAAATATCACCTTACACCAGTTAGAATGGCAAAATTTGTTTTTAAATTTTTTGTTATATTAATCACCATACATTACATCATTAATTTTTGATGTAGTGTTCCATGATTCATTGTTTGTGTATAGCACCCAGTGCTCCATGCAGAACGTGCCCTCTTAAATACCCATCACCAGGCTAACCCATCCTCCCACCCCTTCCCCTTTAGAACCCTCAGTTTGTTTTTCAGAGTTCATCATCTCTCATGGTCCGTCTCCCCCTCCAATTTCCCCTCCTTCATTCTTCTCCTCCTGCTATCTTCTTTTTCTTCTTCTTTTTAACATATATTGTATTATTTGTTTCAGAGGTACAGATCTGTGATTCAACAGTCTTGCATAATTGACAGCACTCACCATGGCACATACCCTCCCCAATGTCTATCACCCAACCACCCCATCCCTCCCACCCCCCACTATTCCAGCAACCCTCAGTTTGCTTCCTGAGATTAAGAATTCCTTATATGAGTGAGGTCATATGATAGATGTCTTTCTCTGATTGACTTATTTCGCTCAGCATAACACCTT